AAAATACAAACTCAATGGCATATTCAAAACTTGTCACCTATGTTCCCATCATTCACTACCAAAAAGAGAAGGAAAAATCCGAGGTTTGCCTAGCCACAGTGAACCAGAAATGTCTATTAGAGGTCTAGTAGCTACAATTACTGTATTTATGTGGCAACATGCACATAATTCGCGGTTTATTTGTGACATCTCTATGCAATGGGTATTACTATTCGGACCACATTTACTAACCCGTGACTTAACATCTCTTAATAGAGAGATTATACCCACTTAATTATGTGGGTTCCACCTTTTGTATGACTCGTATGAACCCATATTTCAGCAATACGTGTTGCAGCCTGTGGCAGCGCGTAAGCCCAATGGCCGCCTAATTGACTTCAAAAAAACCCCACCACCGCCAGCGACAAATATATTGTCATGGATTCATGGATTTGACCCTGCCGCCTCTCAAAGTACATTGGCCATTGGCTTCAGACGACAATTTCCGTTCACGATCAATTTGAATTTTCTTGTAATAAAATTCAACCACCCAAACCCAAAAAAACAAAAAAAAAACAAAATGTGCAGAACTCATCCAATTACTGATTTCTTATATGATCAACACTACGTTCATAAATTAATTTTTTGACACGATCATCACCAAGAAATTTCAAAACTAAAGATCTTACAGTCATTATAACAAACAGAACATGATCTATCGGTCACTACACCTCACAAACAAATTATCAATAATCTCCTAGGCATGTTTGGCTTCCGAGAAAATCTCGGAAAAACACCAAAGAAGGAAAATCAACGCATGCATTTCATACACTCCTTCCATTTTCTTAATCAAAGATTTGAAGCCAAACAGAGCAGCATGCAATTAACGTAACAACTGATCCAAGAAATCGTACGGACGACGATGATAATGATGACAATGGAAATATTGAAACGGACCTGGAGGTTCTTGCGCTTTCTTTCGTCCTCGGCGCGCTTGGCGAGATCGGCGACCATGCGAAACCTTCGGGTAGGGTTCTTGACAACGGCGACTGCGGATCTCCATCGCATCAAGGCCTCGTCGGAGGGCCGTTTGGGTTCCACGTCGAAGTTCTTCCTCAAATACTCCTCCATTTTCTCTCTCATCGTAGTTTTCTTGTGAATATGAGATGGAGATCACTCTCTGACTCGCTCCTCTGTGACTCAGTAGGGCTGTGTAGTTTAGTAGTATTAGCTTGATTTTTTTATTTATGATGAATTGAGTTCAGGGCAAGAGGTTTATATATATATATATATATATATATGAAAAAATCATTTTATTTTTTTGTTATGGAAAGTTTCAAAACGAAGCCGGGAATGGCGGGAATGTTGGTGTATTAAGAGGAAAGAGTTGATTTTGCAGAATATCTCGAGATATGATGTTGTGCTCTCTCTCTCTCTCTCCCTCTGTATATATAGTGAGAAAAAGAGGTCATCATTTCAATTAATTTCCTAAATGCACCATAAACTCGTGATCTCTAACTATATATATGGTTATCATTTTACAAATGTGAATGAAAAAAGTTTGGTGTTGGATAAACTTTATATTAAAAGTAGGGGTAGGCACGGTCCGGTTCGGTTCGGTTCGGTTCTCACCTCAAATTGGAATCGGAATCGGAATCAGTACTATTTAACCGATCCGATTTAAGCAAATTTTTTTAAAAAAACTGGCCGGTACAGTTCTGATCGGTTTTGAACGAATTATTAATTTTTTAATTTTTTTTAATTTTTTTAAAATAAAAATTATAATAAATAACTTTTTTTTTGCTTAAAAATTAAGAAATGACCCAATTCATACAATGAGAAATTTTTTGAAGTTGAATTTGGAAAAATATTAAGGGAGTTTCACTAAAACACCCAAAATGGGGGCTGAAATTATAAAAAAAACCCAACACCCAAAACACTTTATAAACACACCAAAAACTCATCATTACACACACTCAAAACCCATTTATAAACACACCCAAAAAATATACAATTGTTGATTTTGGGGTTGATTTTGGGTGTGTTTCTATGTTTAAATAGTGTTTGGGTTTTTTTATAAATACATGTCTAGGATTGGGTTTATTTATAAATTTGTAAAATAGTAATTATAAAATTTAAAATATAGAATTGGATTTTAAAATTTTGTAATAAAATAAAATAAAATAATACAACCGGTCCGATCTAGTTTGGTGCAGTGTAAAACCAGAACCGGAATTGGTTGGAACTGTTTTGTTGACTTTTTTGGTCAACCAATTTTTTTTCTTGTTTTTTTTCACCGGTCCAGTTCAGTGTTCTGGTGTTCCGGTCCCGATGCCCATCACTTTTAATTTAAAAGTTATGTTCATTCAAAAATTAATTTATAAGTATTTGATAAATGTTTGTGTAAAAGTGTTGTGAGATGTGTACAATGACTAAATTAGATGTTTTGCTTTCAGCGAAAGGTGAAATAATAATCATCCTTTCATATGCTTTCCCATATCACGGTGAGTCACAAAATTTCGTCCAAAAATAAATTCTCTCTTCTTTTACCAAACGGGATGAGAAACTAAGGGCTTGTGTGAGAGTGATTCTAAATAGACCAAAAAGCACTTTTATGGAGAATCACTTCCCTATATAATCACTTTAAGTGGTTTTAAGTGATTTTTATTTATGAAGAAGCACCTTCCATGTGATTCTGGCATATCCTAGAATCACTTCAAAACGAGCATTAAAATTGTGAAAATAAGTTATTTTGGCCCCAAATAAGCAATGTCAAATGGGGTTTAATTATGAATAATTTAATATTACTTGTAGAAATGGTCCATAAATTATACTTTGATTTGTATTTTCGTCTTTGAGTTCAATTATTAAATTATGTAGTCCATGGGCTCTACCACAAGTGGAGTTTTAGTCCTTCTTCCTTACTTCTGTCAAGTATTATTTGACTGTTTATTTAAGAGGTAAAAAGGTCGACTGAAGTTTAGAAAAGAGAGGTGATTTGGAGTTGGGCTTGGGAAAAGATTAGTTATGGGCTTAAATATTTTATTAAAAATTAATACATACAAAATTAGTCTGGCTCAGCCTAGTCTAGTTTTTTCCCTAAAAGAACTGGAACTAAAATCGAACCAAATCGGTTCCGTCCAATTTTTGGTCAACTCGGTTTAGTTTTTGGTCAATCATGTTTTTTCTGGTTTTTTTGGGCCCTATTTTTCTATTTGTATGCCCACCCCTACCTTCTATGGTCTGGCCATAGTTTCCCTTCAAATGTTGTGACCATTTTTGCCCAAAAAAACAAAATAATTTCCCTTCTGTTTTAGATTATTTAGGATTTTTCTTTTAAAAAAAAAATTAAGTGGGGATAAAATAGAGATATTTTTTTGGGTCAAATTATAGGAAGGGTAAAAACAGATATAGCAAGAGACGATTACTTTAATTATTGAAATGGAAATAATCCAAATGAGGATTGTGATCAAATCAACATGCATGGTTTTCTTCGGAATAAAGAAAATCACGATGGTTTAATTGAGACATTTATTTTAGAGTAATGCTAGGCTTACCACATTTTTTATACCATAATTGTACCACCTCTCTAATAGAGGTGGAGCCCACAAATACAATGGGGCCCACCTCTATTAGAGAGGTGGTACAATTGTGGTATGAAAAATGTGGTAAACCTAGCATTTTCCTTTATTTTATAATATTCTCTTTTTTTTTTTCCTTGCGTCTTTCTCATTCAGTTTTCTTGATCCTTTCTCTTCTTGTTTTTTTTTATTTTTTATTTTGGTCAGATCCATCCATTTCCTTGGGTTTAAGCCGCTTTCTTTTGGCCAAAAAACAAAGTTTCCTTTGAAGACTCACAATATCCATCGAAATATGGTTATTGAAGAATAGTTGTCGTATGACAAATAATTTTATTTGAGGAGTCTAAAAGTCTCTGTCAAGCTACCAGAAAAACAATCAAGCAGCATTTTCAAATAAATAAAAATGATAGTGAGAATAAAAGAGTGAGGATGAGATTGAGAGAGAGGGTGAGGTGAGATGATGGGAGGGAGGAGTAACAAATGTGAAAACAAAAACTTGAAAGTAAAAACAATTTCAAATAAATTTCAGTTTTTAGTTTTTGTTTTCACTTTTGATACTCCTCCTTCTTGTTGAGGCCCAAAAAATCCACGGTTTGGCCCAAATAAATTCTCGGCCAAATGCGATACCTTACCAAGAAGAAACCCGATTTGGACACGCAGAAGTTCATCATATGCGCTTTCACACATGCCACGCCACGCCAAGCAAGGAATTATTATTCTGCACCTAATCACACCACAAGCTTAAGTGGGCTCAAGCTACGCAAGATGTCTGGGGCTTGCTTGAGTGGGTTGTGGTATGAATGGTAATAAGTTGTCATGAGGCCCATTGATGAGCCGAGAAATGGAGGTTCCGGGTTGCTTGGGAGCCTCGGAATCCAAGCCCATTTCTTAGGCCCAAACATGTGGGTGAGCACAAAGAGAAAATATCCCAACCAAAATAGCCTATTGACTCAACCAAAAAGCCCAACACCTCAAGCCAAACCTTGGTGAAGTTGGCCCATTTATTTGATAAGCCAATCCATTGTTCTAGAAGGCCCACATAAATAAAATAAAGACCTGCAAAACCATCAGCACTTTGCTGGAAAACAGAAGCCACGAAGAAGCATGGAAGACCACGCTGGTTGCTGGGAGGGAAGGAACAAGTTTTCAAGCAAGAAACTTCCAAATGACCAAGGGATATTGGAGCGCAGATCACCCTTTGAACCAGCATGCATACCCATTTCTTTCCCTCATCAGACCTAGCCTTGGAAGAGGGGAGAAAAGAAGGAAGAAAGATAGCTGAAAATAGGAGTCTGAAACAGCCGCGGGAAAAGGGGCCTTGAGCTCCCAAAAATCCATGATCTTGTGCAAATAGGCAGAGTGGATTTCACCAAAAAAGGATAATTGAAGAGATGAGGGGAGAAAGGAAGGGAAAGACTTGGCCAAATTGGATAGAAACCATTAGGATTTCTTGGAAAATGTCAGCTTCCAGCGGCTATAAAAAGGGGCCTCTTTTACCCAACAAGCATCAACCACATTAGAGAGCAAGCTTCCTCTCTTACTCTCAAAACCCAGCAATTTCGTGCTCAGCCCATCATTTTCCCTTAGTTTTCCCTCTTGGCAAGCTGTTCTGACACTTGACAGAGTCTCTGTCAAGCTACCGGAAAAACAATCAAGCTGCATTTTTCTCTCTTTTTCCTCATGCTCAACCAAACCTCTCTGCAAAATCCTTTCTCTCCAACCTTAACACCCCATCTTTCTCTTGGGAACACTTAGTTTTCTCTTTAGTGCTAAACTCATGATAATTTTGCTCTCATGCCACAAGCTTCTCATGCCAAGCCAAGAATTTATCTGTAAGCTGTTATTATTTTCGTTGGTGAAGGTAACCAAGGTGTTTCCTAAGGCCCCTACTGTCCTTTCGAAGCACTCTTGGGGCTTGATCTTCGAACTCAGGCTCAAGGGGCAATTTCTTCCATTTTGCTCTGCCGCCTAGGCCCGTAGTAGCTGCCGGAAGAAAAAAGCCCCTACACCTCTCATCCTCCCTTTTCATATTCCCTCTCAATGTCATCTTCACTCTTATTCTCACTTTCATTCTTCCTCTCTTTCTTTTGTACTCTAGCACAAAAAATAAAAAATAAAAATAAAAACTAAAATTAAAATGATTATTATAAAACGGGCCTTAAAATTTCACAAATTGTCCTTGGTTAGTGAAATTGTTAAAAGACAAAACACTTCATTAAATAAAAATAAATTAGTACATTCACAATATGTTTAAATTAAAATAATTTTAAAAAACTTAAAGAACATGTTGGGATTAGACATTCTAGTAATCGGAGGAAAACCTAATTGACACATTATATAAGTAAGGTCCCCAAACTAGCAGTCGCACCATTTTATGTTATTCCCATTGTAACTGTGTATACTGAATAGTGAGGAAGAACTATGTAAGATCATTTAGGATGTATGTTGTTTCACATGTTAGTATTTGTTTATGTATCCATGTTTAAGATATATGTAAGATACATTGTCCATAACTAGGGTGGAAAGTAAAGGATGATCTTCCTTACCCATAGAGAAAATTTAGAATGTGGAGCTTGAAGGAAACATGATCTAATGCTTAGGAAATGAACTTTTGCCACAACCTATACAACAAAAACATTCTAAATGGTAGATTCATTTTGTTTATACTAGTTGAGCTAAACCTTTTTCATTTTAAACCAAGTATTTTAGACTAGTCTCTTTGAAAACAAATAGAAAAGGAAAAAGGGAATAGATCTTTACCCTTGATGAATTTTCTTGATTTATCAAGAATGAACACCTTTGTTGGAAAGGCCTTTTGTTTTTCTTGATTTTGACTCCTTCACCTCAAGGCTCCAAGATTGAAGTCCTCTACCTCACCACACCAAATGCTCTTAGAGATAAAGAGAAGGCAATCAAGAAGTATGGATGCTAGTCTACTTCTTGATTAGACCAACTTTTGGTTTATGGAAGATGAGATACAAAGATGATCACTCATCAACCACAGTAGAAAACCAAAAACCCTAGCTAGTTTTCTCCAATACTTAGCTTATATAGGACAACACAAAAGGTAATTGGGTGTGTATTTGGGGCTCCATTTGGTCCACGGGTCATGTCATCTTATGCCACTTATTTCTTGGGCCCAATAGCCTTTTGGGCTATTTTATCCATTTCCTTTTAAATCATATCTAAAAACCCAATTCAATATTTCTATATGTCAATGCTAATTTCATAATTAATTTTTTTATTATAATTTAACTATTAAATTATAATTGACCCGATCGAACTATTTTACTTTGACCAATTGCTCTGGTCAACGTGTTGACTTTTGACCGTTGACTTTGACATTTGATTATCAACCATTGACTTGTGTCTCCACATTTGTACCTCTAATCACATTCTTTGGGTTTGCAAATCCGTAGGTTGCCTTTAACAACGTAGTGGGTTGACTCAACTCCTCAGAGATGATATACGAATTAAATTCCACAATTTAATTCTTCCTATTAATAAAGGTTAATTGAAACCTTTTAGGACATCCACAAACCTTGGTTGTAGCCTAGCAACAAGTCACGGTTATCCGAGCTAAATGAGACGTCGTGAAAGAACCTATTCAAATTAAAATGACTGTGCAATTGAATCTTTCTCTTATGTCAATACTCCTTATTCACATTATTAGATCATGGAATCCGATTTTCAATATCCTAATGTGAATAATTCCTTTTACATGATTATCCTGGTAAGATTTGAAGACTTCTTCTTTCAAGTCATATCCACTACTCTGCATAGAGATTTGACCAATCATATCTTGGAGTATTCTCTCTCATTTACTGAGAGTAGAGATTCCTTGTTGTACATTCATTTGCTTTCGTGACTCTATTAAGAATCCTGATGAACACCTATTGGTTATGCATAATTCAACATGATCGTATAGTGCCCTCAAAGATTAACAACATAGCCACAAAACATCTATGATGCCTCAGGTCTAAGGATTAGTTTGAACCATTGCAATTTATGAGTTCCAGCTTGACATATGAGTAAAGACTTCCACGCTGTAACTCATCTGTTGGATCGCGTTCAGTGTACTTGTTCTTCTACAAGCACCGACACACATATTGATGTGTCTCCACACTTAATGACTTGAGACCTTCTCATTCCCTACATACAGAGATGATACTGTGTGTACTGTTCTTTGCGAAATATTGACGCTCAATCAATATTCCTATCACCAGGAACATATTCAGGATTTAGGGATGATGAGAAGTCTCCATGTATGCAATCTCATTACATAGCTCTTATATCCACTTGTGTATTCCTTGGACTATGGTTATTCTACATATTGAAAGATAATATAGGATGATTTAATCTATAAAACAACATTTCTTGCCTAATGATAACATAATATGTCTTTTATCAAAGATGTCATTAACTCTAATTATTACATAATTAGTTGGCTTTAAGGACATATTTTTAACAGAGCTACTCTATTGTAAATAAACGATTTCCATGTTACTTGCTTCATTCTATATTTGTTGAGTTATATTCTAGCTAGGTTTCTTTTACCTTCTCTTGACAACTTTGTAATAGGACTTGTAATGTAATTACCCAAGCTCAAGGTTATTAGACTAGGTTAAATTGCTATCAAGATTTGCTAAAGGTAATTTTTCATCACATTCATTAGAATGCATTAGGATATGACTAGTACATTCACAATAGGTTGGTATCGGCTTCCAATCCTGCAAATGCTGTTGTGAACTGATTTAGGAATGAGCAGTAAACCAGCCATGCACCTCTTCATGTGCTTGGACACAAACCTGAGTTGAGTGACCAAGTCTACCACAAGGAAAACAATACTCCGGAAGATATTCATACTTGAACTCTATCAATCTCTCTCCAATTTCAAGAAAAGTAACAAGTGTTTGACGTATTAAAGGCAAGTCAACATCAAAACAGACCTGGATATGAATAAAACGACCCACACAATCATCCCCATCTCGATTATCCGCCCAAAGTGGCCCCAACAGCTTGAGCAACAGCTACTGTCATACAAAAACTCGGAATACCATGCAGTTGAACTCAAAAGGTCCCATAAGGTAACGGCACCATATGGAGAGATGCATCATCTAGCTTCTCCGCCAGCAGGACCAGGGATCTTCAATAGGCCCATGGTTCCATGTCAATAACTCAACGGCGATCACAGTCACATAAAACCAAACCCAAAATCGATTATGTGCAATTTCCTTAATCGATACATCCTCATTACCTTTCCATAGGCTGGAGAAATTCTTGATAAAAGCATCACGATTGACCTCATGTGGCATTAGCACTTTTGCAATAAGGCCATAAATAAAACCCACAAAATGATCGGATATTGCAAAAGCCCCTATCACCACCCCCACCTTCTCCCGATCTGTAAGCACAAGTTGTTGTTCAAGCGAAGTCCCAATCTCGTCATTGGTCGGCTCCTTAGTGAAAGAAGGGTTCCCCTCTCCCCCATACAAGCAAGACCAAAACCAAAAGGCAGAAGGTGTCTGATCTGGAAACGACGGAGCGCAAAACCTAGACTATGGAGAAAGGCGCTACCAAAACCTAAGAACCAAAGTCTCAAAACAAAGTGTGCTAGACACGATACAAAACCCGGAGAACCGCCGCCAAATCAAGCAAGGAAAACCAAATTAGAGGATGAAAAGACGAGATCCAGTTACCCAATATCAATCTGGAAAGCACTAGGAGAAACAGTTTCAGGAAAACATAGAGGACCAAGACTTTTCCCTTGGGAAACAAGGAAGAAACCCTAGTCGTCAAGACTTTTCTCTCCTCATAGAAAATAGAGAGCGACCCACACTCGCCCATTATATCTTTATTTGGTGGAATAGAACTTGTGCCAAAGTACTACTAAAAATTGGTCCACATTTTAAGCGTACAAGAAACTAAAAACTAAGGCTTTGAAAAGATTGTTAGTTTATTTGGACTTGACCAAATACGAACCTAAGAAAGAAAGAAAAAAGATTTTGTACATGCTTTCAAATTTAACGTAGGTTCTTTTTGGTTTTGAACTGGCTCTATTCTCACCTTCGTATGCTAATTATTTGAATGAAAGGAACTCAAGCTATGAAATTGTACACAAAATAATTGATGGAAATACTTCTAGCCCCAAAAAAGTCGCTTTACATAGAAATCAAAACCTCAAAATTGGATCTAATTACCAAAAAACCATCTTTCGATTTAATTGGAGCAAAACCCCAAAAGCAATCCTCTTGTAAGTTAAAAACCACATTTGTTTTCTTATTAAACTGTTAAAAGGCCATAAAAATGGGGGTATTATGCTGAATTGCCTCCTGAACTTGTACATAATTCTCAATTTACCACTTAATCTTTTTTTTTAGCGAATTAAAGGCTCGAATTAAATTTTATTATCAATGTTCCCCCCACTGTCAAAATTCGAACATTTCATCCATTAATCCGTCTATTTGACCCACGTTGACTCTTTGTTGAGGGTTATTTTCGTCATTCAGCACGGATTGAATTAGCAACCTCTCTCACACACTTCACACATCGCTTTCAGATTGGTAGGGTTAGAAAGGGACCGAATTGAGGGTGGGAAAAAGGACGAAATCGAAGGTTGGAATCGAGGGAATTTGAAAGCTTTTTCATAAAGGTTCTTTTGGCTCTGTTGATTCAAAATTTAAGCAACTAAGATGCCGAATATGAGTAAATCTTCATTAGTGACCAAATGCAACATCAAGCTAAATTGATCTGGAAGAATCACGTGCAACCAACAAAATGACTAAAATCCCGTTTTTAGCTACTAAAACCACACTTACTTGAACCTGAAATTCATATTTGCCATTAGCATAAGAGACATAGTCGAAATCTAAAAACCTTATAAAGAGAATAGAAAACATAGCAAACTCTTAAAAGGTTTCTGAAAGTTATTAGATGGAAACAAACTAAGAAACAGGGTCACCGGTCCACATCATGTCGAGCAACCTGAAGAAAGTTGTAGCGCCATACTAGCTAAACCCATAATGTAGTACCAACTAAACCTGAATCCAACGCAACCCAACAACAACCCCGCCTTGCAGCTCAAACTCATGTTGAAGGCTGACAACTGGAGTCAAATTCTTATGATGGGATGTGTGCGTGGGCTAAAAGACGACGACTATCAAGGTGATGATAGTATTTCAAGGTATCTCCTTCCATACCACAAAACAAAACGAAAAAACAAAGAAGGATTTAGGGGAAGAGTGAGAGAATGAGAGGAGAGGAGATGAGAAGGGATGGGAGGAAAGGAGAGCATGGGTAAGGGCTGAGAGGTGGGAGGGGAGGGAAGGAGGCCACGACTCCCAAAGGAAGCAGGTGCAAAGGTTTCTTTCTGTAGGGTTTTCTCTTAGGATTTTGCTAGTTTTTGGCTGATCATACCACAATGTATATTGAATTTGAGTGAACCCTAATTTTTTTTAAAGGTCCATAAAGATTCAAAATTAAAATTCTTGTTTTATCCTTCGTTTCTTCCTCACCTCTTTCATCTCATTCATGTGCACATGTGCTAAATATGCTCGCAAAACTCATGGCAACAAATTTCCTTCAATCGTCAATCTATTAAGTATTCTTGAATGTGAGAATTCATGACGTTATTCCGTTCTATTACTTTTTCGCTTCATTTTTATATTGGTCCTTTCACACATACTCACGTGTGTGCCAATTGATTTTTATTTTTTATTTTTTTAAATTATGAGAATTTAACAACAACGAAAGAAAAAGAAGTTGCGTCCCATGAAAATAGGACCTCATGTTCTTATTTTGATTTCAAAAAATTAGATGAAAAAAATTTAATTTACTATATTATATCCTTATTTTATGTAAAGTTTCAAGGCTTAATAAATTCATTAACCAAAGAAAACTTTTAATATTTTAAATGTTTTATCATTTTCTGACCTTTAACTTCCACAAGTTCATTTTACATTTGTTATTCAGAGTTTATAGTTTGTAGGCCTGCTTGAAGGGAGCCGATTCCAAAGCACTAGTCTCTCTCTGGTACCAATATTAACTGGCTTCATTTTTGTATTCTATACCCTTTCTCTCGTTAACTTCCACAAGTTCATTTTACTTTTGTTACTGAGAGTTTACAATTTTTATGTCTGCTTGAAGGGAGCCCAATTCAAAGCATTAGTCAATATCAAATTTGTATCTGCTTGAAGGGAGCCCAATTCAAAGCACTAGTCTCACTAAGAGCTCACTATATCGTCTCTTACCTAACCACTTAGGTCCAATACCTTGTGTGAGATAAAACAAAATGAACCTATCCAAGTGTGGGGTTTATCAACTGCTTATAAGTTGTGGACTATTATATAGTACTTCTTCGATGTGGGATAATGGTCTCCAGGGGTGGGCGCGGTCTAGTTTGGTCTGATATTCATCTTAAACCAAAATCAGAACCAGTATTATTTAACCAGTCCAATTTTAGTTTTTTTTTTAACTGGTGGTTCAGTTTGAACCGATTTCGGTCTGGTTTTCAGTTTTTGACCCGATTTTATTTATTTTTTTGGAACTTTTTTTTTATACAAATTCAAATTAAAATTTATTTTTTTTGCTTGAAAATTAACAAATGATCCAATTTCATACAAAGAGAGATATTGGGCCTAAAAAAAAGAGATCTTTGTAAGTTGGGCTTGGGAAATATTAGGTATGAGATTAAAAATGTAGCATTATAGTTAAATAATTTTGTAAAAATATAAATTATACACAACTGATCTGATTCGGTATGGTTTGGTGCGGTGTGAAACTGAAATCGAAATCGATTGGAACCAGTCTAGTCTGGTTCGGTGCCAGTTTATTGACTTTTTAGTCAATCGATTTTTTTTCGATTTTTTCCATTCGGTCCGGTTCGGTGTTCCTATTTTCCGATCCCAATATCCACCCCTAATGGCCACTACCACGTCCACGCATATTATCGAACCACACAACGCCAACAACAAGGCCCGTGAAACATTAGTTGCTAAAAAGAATACAAAAGCTTGGCTTTTTTTTTCCGTTACAAACTAGGGCCATGTCCAATTTTTAGTAACCAACTATCCGGCCCATTGGAGCTTAGTTTTTGGATTGGGTTTCTAAAAAGGCCAACTGCACGGTGTTTGGCATCTCCCACTAGAGTTGGTCTTATAGATCCCAAATTTACGCCGGTCATTGTAGATGCTCTAAATCATTACCTTTTCTCCAATTCTCTTTCTCCCCGGCCCTCCTCCTTCAAGAAAATATAAAACTACCTAATCCAGAATCACTATCTCTTCTGCTCTTTCAAGAAGGATTGACGAAATTAAAGACGGAAAGTCATTGCTCTAAGGATTTCTGAAGTTCAATTCAAGTACGTTGAGTTTAATTTGCTCTAATTTCTTTTACATCTTTAGAAGAAGAGTTGATGTGTATTAGGAAATTTTATGTTTTTTTTTCTCAAACTATTAATTTTAAAAGGAAAAACTAAAAAAGGGAAATATTTCAAAACCCTTCACCTACATGTATTGACACCACTCCTCCCTCGGCAACTTCACCTCCCTCGTCGATCTGTATCGCTCATCTATTTCTATATTTCTCTCTATATTCATCACTTTCTACTCTCTCTACATACGAATTAGATCTGAGGCTTACGAGCTCTCTCTATGTGTCTTTATGCAAATAAACCGGATCTTAGGCCAAATATAGGAAATAGTGGCGATGAGGGAGGTTGAGCTAGTTGGGGAGAAGCGATGCCAACACCGACAAGTGGAGGGTTTCATATGCTTTCCTTTTTTCTTAGAATAACCAAACAAAAACAAAAATTTGTTGTGCCTGAATATTGAAGAGTCGGACTCCAATAGGTTTTCCCTAAATTTTTGGTTTATGAATGAATTAATAATGGTACATCTTTGTTAAATGAGTTTATGGAGTTATTAGTGTGATATAGCTCAGTTAGTTGAGTTCTTTCACCTCGACTCATGTGGACAAAAGTTCGAAATCTCTAAACACCCCTGAATATTTGTGTAAAATCCCTCTTAAAATCCCTTTTACTAAAAAACAAAAACAAAAAATTGGAGTTAGGTACTCCTTTCTCGTTTCTTGTGCAGATGTTATTAACACAATTAAGTTTGGTAAGACATGGAATGCCAATTTCACTGGTCATTCTCTAATAATATCATTATGCAGATAAATACTTGAGGCTTGTTTTGAGAAGCGCGTAGGAGGACGGATGACTATTGAATTTCTTTATTTTCATCAATAAGGTTCTATTCTTCCCTACCTTTTTTCTAATATTTGATATGATTTCTTATTGTTGGGCGGTGACTTTAAATGCAAAAATTTTACAAAAAATTTTACCATACCTCCTATTAGAATCTGCATTCTAAATCTAAAAAGGAAAAAGGAAAAATTAAAAAAAAACGAAGCAAATGATAGTTAATATTAACTCAAAGTGAATAAATATCAGGTGAACTTTTAAGCATTTGTAATCCACATAAAATTTTAATTTCTACTATTAACCTGGACTCTGTAAAGTGTTGCAATTTATCATATACATCAGGCTTAGTCTACTATTTAATAAAAACATACCATATGCCCCTCACGTTGAGGATATTTTATTCCATCTACATATTAGGAATCACTAAAATCGATTTCCATCCAAATAGCCGATCAAACTTGGAACCTTACAATCCCCCATTTCCCTCCCAAATTGATTTCCTTCATATTATATCCTTGACCATTCTATAAGATGTAGTCATTAGCGAGCCCTAATAGGTAGATGGACAAATATCTCTCCATGTGAGAGGCATGCTAATGAAAATTGAATAAAACTTAACATATGTGATATGAAAACTAAATAGAACTTGATATAGGTGATAAATTGCAACACTTTATAAACCATGTTTCACTTAGACCCATAACATCGGATACGAGTCGGGTCAAAATTGAACCCATAAACTATGAGTGACCCGATAATATCGAAAAGGATATAATTATGTAGTTATAATGACACCATCAATTCGGTGCTCCTTGTTTCTTTTGTAAAATCCTGACCACTGGCTTCTTATAATTTTGACACGAGAAAAAGCTGCACATATGAAAACGTAAGCCCCCGCACACACAATTTGACCAAACAAACCCTATCCATCCATATGCACAAGATGGAGGAGGAGCCTCTTCTTCCTGAACATTTCCTCTTTAATTAGCATGCACCCAACAAACATGCATCTTAATGATATTACTAAAGTGGGCTACCCTACAATCTAATAAAAAAATATTGCAAAAATAGAAAAAAGAAGCCAAAAGAGAATGCCTTGGATCCTCTTCCGGCACAATCATGTTCATTTGAGATTGTACATGAAAGAATGATTTCTTATTTACCCTTTTCTCACTTCACATAATTTCATACAATCATAATATACACATAGAGAGAGAGAGAGAGAGAGAGTATAATAAAACCAAGTATTTACAGTTTATGTTATATTGTTAGCTTGTTAATTGAATGATTAGTAAAATGTTGTCATATTGTCAATATTATTATGAATTATATAAGTTCGAATCATCATTCCCGTAGTTTAAATTAGATTAAAGTAGACTATAGTTTATATAAAATATATATATATATTATGAAATTCTTGCTGGAAGAGTGCGGCTCAAATTAGTAACCTAGTAACATACAACATGTGACAAAAGATTGCCTTATTTCAACTATCATGATCATGGCTCATAATTGATAAGCGAATCTAGGCAAAATCCTCCTTTTCTGAAACCCTATTGTCCGATTTCCTCATCCCTTTTGCTCCCGTCAGTGTCATTTTTCTACAAACGTAACTCAATTTAATTCTAATAAAGATAATACAGTGACAAAAAAAAAGTCTAAATCGACCACCATGATCACTTATTAATTGCACAACACTGTTGAGCCCATCATTCCACAAACCCTAATCATAAATTCCCAAGACACCAATTACGCTAGCTCTCTCTCTCTCTCTCTCTCTTTTTCTCTATTGGGAAACAGCATATGGATACGGTCTCTCTTTCAGTTTATAATCCCTACATGTCAACATATCAGCATGGTTATGGTAACTTTGTAGTTACCGAAGCCTTTGCCTGCCTACCTGTTTCTCACTATCTCTACACTTATATTTACTCCTCACTTTTTGGTCCAAACTCCGAGGCAACAGTAAAAATCTAGGGCCTCTCTCTCTCTCTCTCTCTCTCTCTCTCTCTCTGAGTTACTGCCAATTTCTCTCACGCATTCACAAGGCTACAGACCCCAAAAGATTCTTGTATCCGTGCACTTTTGTCATACGTGTGGGCATCAACATCTACTTTTTGATCTGTTCATGTCCTCTCCTTCTCCTGTCAATGAGAGAGAAGAAAGTAAAGGCTCTTCTCTCCTGCACAGAGAGAGAGAGTGAGAGATAGTGGCATTGCATAGATCACTCACATGGGTGGGGTTTTGGTGTGTAGGCCCCACCCCCAATCTGGCATTAGATAAATGAGTAGGACCCACATGCAGCGTCAGCACCACCCATGTGGGTGGTCCCCACTTGCTTTAGTCTTTAGCTCCCCATGAACAGATAATTTTAAAGACAGTATCCCACCAGTTACAAAAAGAAGAAAAAATGGAAGTGGCTTTTAAACAAAGAGACAAAAAAACACTCCTCCATCATAAAAGCCAAAGCACAGAAAGCAGCGAAAAAGATACCAAATTAGAGTAAAAAACTCACTTGTTTCATTTCTGATTTTCATCCTAAGTTTTTCTTACTGTTCTTTTTTTAACATTTTAACAGCGAAGGGTACATCTGTCTGTGTATAACAACCACTACAAGTAGCAGGAACACATCATTGATTGATAATGGTAAAAAAAAATTAAAATAAAAGTTTCCCAATATCGTACTTGAGCTCAGCTGACTGATTTTGCTTCACAGCTTGCCTTCCTCCTCATAGGCTCCTTCAATTTCAACTACCCTTTTAAGAGTACTGACTGAATCAGCCTTGTAGTTACAAATTTACCTTCCTTTCTTCTTCTTTTTTTACCTCTCTATCAGCTAGCTTCTTTCTGCTTCCGCTTCTGCTGTACAAAGATTGTTTTACACTAAAACAGAGACTAACAGACTAAACTAGATTTTGGCAATTGTTTCGCTTAAAGGGGAACAATTGGGAAGGCTGACAATTAAAATTACAGTGCCAAAAGTTACAAACTAACATTTTTTTTTGACCGTGTTTTGATTCTTTCTGTCTCTCTTCTTCTTTAAAACTTTTTAACCTGTGGTGCAACTTCAACTACAGAAACTGAGTACAAAGAACAAAGAAAAGGAAATGGCTGACCCACTTCCTTTACTGCCTTTTTACGTATGCATTTTTGTATGGTAGTAACTAGTATGGTATTTGATGATATGATGGCGGTGCTGCTGGTGGGGAAGGGATTTGATGATGATGATGACGATGATGATCTCTACAGATTTTTGGTGGGTCTTGTTTGGTTTATTAACTTGACTTCTTGATCCTCCTGCAAATACAGCCAAATAATCACATAGATTATGTTATGGAGGTTAAACAAAACAAAATCTTAATGCTTTGAAAGTAACTTGTACCTAGTTAAGAGCTTAATTAGGAAGTTCCAACCGGGCACTTCGGTCCAGCTCCTGTGCCCCCATACATCCCTCCTATGGTTCCATGGCCAGAGGACAACCTGAATTCAATCAGACATTCCCAAGTTAGGTATAATTTAGGCACCATGATGACATGGATAAATTTCATGGAAAGGAGTTTGGGGTAACCTTGGAATTTGGCAGTTGAAAGACTTGAAGGATGCCATGTCGAGTGTTGAAGCTGCTGGGAGTAGTGAAGTGGCCAAGTTCATGTTAGCAGCTGAGGCATCGGAGTCATTGGCCTCAGTAGTCCCACTGGGGAAGGAGGACGTGTACTCACCGGCGCCTTTCGTTGGAGACGCGAAAGGACTATCAGGAAGGTTGTGCTCCAAGCTGCATGCACTCAATTATAAGGTCCATAAGCTTCAACACAGTGTTCATACAACTTGGAAAGACAACACGGAAATTTGATGCAAAATCCTGCATACCTTTCAAGCAAGTTATTGACATTATCGCGGGGGCTCTCCTCACCATTTCCATTGGCATTGGCATTGCCACTGCCACTGCCCTTTTCATCATTGTTGACCATTACTTCTTTACCTAACACAACATGCGCCGCTTCCTTAAGCAACTGATCGTCATCCACTTCTGAAGCAGTGGGTGGCATCGGTGTAGAGTTCTCTGTGATCGAGAACAATTAAAATGTTAGCTACCGTATTGAACCATGACACCTATTTACACCATTCTAAATGTAGCAACAAAAATACCTTGCGGAACTTCTGGGCCATTGGGAATTGAAGGAAATATTAGGTTTTGATTAAACATGCTTGGAGACTGAGTAGGGGACTGAATGGGACTGCTGGAAGAAAGAGAACGGTGGTGATGCTTTTTCACATCAAGAAGCTGCAGACCCATTAACCTTCGGCTTTGAATTTCAAGTGCTTGCTGCAACTCAGCTTGCTCCTCCAGCTTCCTCCTCCACAACATGTCTTGAGGATTGTAAAACATCCTTGCTCCTACAATTCAAGAGAAGCATGGTTGAATGCAAAATAATTTTGTCCATGTGTGTGACAATTAATAACTCTTTGAAGGCAAATGTTTTGCTTGAATTAGCTACCTAGCTGGATATCATAAGGGTCTCTAGAATCCAGGCCAGTAGGTGTACCACAGGGAGACAAATCTCCTCTGTCCACTTGTTGCTGTTGTTTCCTGGCAAATTAATAACATTCAAGCAGCATTAGCTTAATTTCCCTCAAGTATAATTACTTCCGGTAACGATATTATAATCAGTGGAAGTTTAAGTTAGGGGAACAACATCAAAAAAGAAGTGAGAGTGTGCCTGTACTTGTCCTGGACTTTGCCCTTCTCCTTGTAAGGCTTAACCAGCACCCTAGCATCACAGACGAAATGAGGGTTCCCTTTGGCCAAAATGAGCTTCACAGTCTCCGGGTACACAAATGTAACAAAACCAAACATCCTCTTCTGCTGGTATGGGATTCTCACATCTTGAACCGGCCCATAAATGCTTCATTATTTTCCATTCAAAAACAACAGCAAGCAAAGTCAGCAAAACAAAAACAACCCATTTCACCATGCCTTTGTAAAAGATGCTTGCACTAAAAAAGCTAAGGAACAGAAAAATGACCTGAAATAGTTTGAGACGTCTTCCTCTCTGAAAGTGCTATCAGCTGGAAAAGTCAAGTAAATTTGCCTTGAAGCTGGGTTCACCATTCCTGCCCCACCACCATTCATCGAAAAATCCGTTCTTTCGAGCCGGGATCGACTGAATTTGTGCATATCATCACCCATCATCAAGGCAGCAGCAGCTGCAGCCCTACATGGATTTCACAGCAAGATTAACTTATATAACAGAAAAGATTAGAACTTTAATATCAAAAAAGATGAGGACTTCATTAAATTTTGTACCTTTGGGCATCGGTTTGTTGCTGCTGAAGAAGGAAGTTCATGCACTTAGAGGAGTAAGGGAAGGAGTTAGCTGAGGCCATGAGCTGAGAAGCAGCAGCAAGTCTTTGCTGTTGCTGTTGAGCAGTTTTAGATCTGAGAAGTGCTTCATGGCATGACTGGTCCATCATCTCGAGCTTGCTCGGTGACCCAACAGCCATTTGACCACCACCATCGACAACAGAGTCCCCAAGTCCACCATGCAAGAACCTGCAGCTGGTTCCATTCTTGCAGTAGCCTCTTGCAAAATACAAGCAGGGTTTCCAGCCAAACCCAGCAGAGTTTGGGTCCTCCGAGCACACATCACTGACAGAGCAGCTTCTCCGGTGGAGGGGCCCACCACCACCACCCCAATTTGCAGAGCCATGGTAAGAGGAGAAAAGGGCTGGATCAGAACCATTGGTAGGACTTGAAGACAAGTCAGTTTGGGGGTAGAAAAAATCAGGGGATTTTGGACCAAGTGCTGGAGTGCCATCGTTGAGGAAAGAGAGCTGCTCTTGAAGCTGAAACTCATCAATCACATCAGTCCCTCCATTTCCATAGAAGGGTAAGGAGGAATTCATCATGGAAGATGATGAAGAGGACCCATTGAGAGCTAAGTTGCTGCTGGGGCTCATGATCAAATTATTTTCTTCTTGGTTTCTAAGCTCACAGAGAGCAGCCCACGAAGCTGAAGCAGAGGAAGAAGATGGGTTTGGAATGGAGAGAGAGAGTCTGGAAGACGAGGAAGTAGAGTTTTGCCTCGAGATAGTGATTGGGTTAGTGGAAAGAAAGGGGGAAGGTGAAGAAGGTGTGGAAGGTGTAGAAGGAGAGTTTGATATGGGCACTCCCAACTCTTTCCTTGCCTTGAGAATCACTGAGTGGAGAAAAGCTTCAGGGCCAAAAGCCAACCTTATCATTTCTTTCTCACCATGATCTTGTATCAGAAGCAGACCCATGATTCTGGAAGCATTTTCTGGGTCCAAGTTTTGGATCCTTGCAAAAACAATCCTTGTAGCTTCATAGGAATCCATGGCTGATGTTGATGATATGGAGATAGCAGAGTTGGGGTTGGTGTGTGCTAAACTTCACTGCCACCAACCCTCCAAATCTTGTTTTTCTGGTTTTGAAAAAATTGAGAGGGACAGAGGAGAGAGAGAGAGAGAGAGAGAGAGAGAGAGCAAAGTGATAATTTGCTCTTCTACTCTATGAACAAGTAAAATTTCTTTCTCAACCACACACAAAACCTTTTACCTACCAACAACCTCTTGTGATGAGTGGGGAGATAAGAGTGTTCTCTTTCTTCCTATCTTATTATTCCTGCAAAACCCAAGATAAATAAATAAAGGTGAAGAGAGAGAGAGAGAGAGAGAGAGAGGGAAAAAAACCATAAAGAAAGGTGTGGAGTGTTAAAAGTAGTATTCTCGTGTGGTTTGATTGATTAAAAAGAAGAACTGGCTAGCTAGGCTGAAGCTCAGAGTTGCCTTTAATTGTTGGAAGGAAAGGAAAAACCCAACCCCAAAAAAAGGCTTTGGGGGGGGATTGAATCTCTCCATAAAGCAAATAAAGAGAGGAAAGTTTGGAACTTTGAAGAGTCATAAGCATAAAGAAATAGCAATAAAACTGAAAGTCTAAAACCACCAAAAAAAACCACACACTGTTTTTTTTCTTGTAAAAAAAATCAGTTTTCTTTAGTTTCTTTGCCAAATTGAAAGCTGAAACTGGACTCTCTGTGTAAAAGTACGGCTTACCCATGAAAGAGGATATGAGTCTTGTTCTAATTTCTCTGTCTCCCAACTCGACTACTTGAAACATATTTATCTTTCTATCCCTGTAATAAAAATCCTTTGCTCTAGCTATAGGACTTGGCTTAATTCCTAGTCAAACTTTTACTCCAAAGGCCAAACCACCGCCTTTCTTTCTAGTTTCTAGGCTCTTTTGCAGCAGAAGAACCATCAATTGCTTCACTGCTGCAACTGTTGCTGTGTTTCTGCTGCTGGGTTTTTTTGGGTTCTGAGCTCTCTCTTTCTCTCTCTCTCTCTAGCTGTGGATTTTCTTCTCTCTCTACTTCTCCATCTATTATTTCTCTCTCCTTTGAACTTTATAGAGGACAAAGACGGGTAGAGGTATGAGCAGTGAGATGAGACTGAGTGAGTTGAGTGAGTTGAGTGAGTGTGTGGGTGCCCGAGTTGGGTGTTTTGAGTGGATCCAGATCTGTGCCTCAAATACTGCACGTTCTCTTGCCTCTAACCTCTGACACTCTCTCTGTCTCTCTCCTCTTTTTCCTCTCTCACCTCTCTCTCTCTCATTTCTTTTTCTTTCCCAACCCAAAAACACCCTGGTTGACTCCACGCTCTCAAGTGGATAGGTCATCACACGCGCCAATGGAGACCTGGATGGGCTCATGGGGACCAAGTTTGACAGAGGGAGCAAGCATCTGTGTGGTAATTGCAATGTGGTCTGCACGCTCTTGGAATTTGGTTTCATGGTCTCATGGTCTCCTTCTATATGTGTCTTTGTGGGTGAGTCAATGCCTCTCACAAGACGAAGTAAAATAAATAAATAAATAAACAACAGTAATCTATATATTAGTCTTGATCTCTTGGACTATAGGGCTTTAAGAGATTTATGGTCACTCACTGTTAAATATAAATTCAACGGTTCACTAACTCTTGTACTCTTTTTAAGAAACATTTTTAAACCATTAAATCAATATTCAACGATGGATGACCACAATCTCTTGGACTCTTGTGGTCCAAAAGATCGAGACTGCTATATATAAAGCAAAAAATAGAAAATTGTGAAACATTCAAAATACCAAAAAATGTATTTTGTTAATGCAAACATTAAGAATTGAAATTATTAATTAAATTAGAATAATATGGTAAATTTACACTTTTTCATATTTAAAAAAATTAAAATCTAATAATGGATCCTATTTTTATGAAATAGAACTACCCATTATCTTTTTAATTCTAAAATAAATTTAATTTTTTAATATAAAAAAAATCTCGCCAGTGCGAAAGCGTATACAAAGAGGCTATTAAGCTTTAACATGAGTGATATGCAAATGGGATTTTGTGATTTATTTATTTTTTATATATAAAAACTTTGGCAATATTTTTTTAATATAATTTTTCTCTCATCTTCAAGCACATAATTAGGGGTCATTGGTGCTCATGTCCCACCAGCTTATTATATACGTGGGGCTTTTGTTCACTCCCTGTAAAATAATTGTCATTATGATGATGGTTTATGATACTATAATGCCTCAATATGCAAAAAGAGAGTATGGGTTTGTTTTCTTGATGGTGAGGAAACTACAAAAGGTATGGGGATTTGCATAGGATATAGGGAGGCAAGGTTCTTGCTCTTGCATCTTTTTTTTTCTTTCTTATAAGATGCCCCCACAACAAATAAATGATGACTGAATCTTTTTTCCAATCTCTCTCTTTCCTTTTCTCACTCTCCAAACACCCAACTCATACCTCATTATAATTTACAGCAAGGAGCCCCAATCACTTTTCCCCCCAACCTTTTCATGTTTATTACTCAGTTATGCGCACAAAGAAAGATAAAGGGTGTACAAATTGTTGTTGCCTCTTGGTGGTATCAAAAGTAGTTGGGACTTGTAAAGTATGGCTTTCAATAGAGAGAAGGAACCATGGAGCTTCCACATGGGTGTGGCCACTCTCTCATAATTTTACTTTCAAGCAATACATGCTAATATACCCTTTTCTTATTAACATGTGAGAGATTGCCACCTCAATTTATAACTCACTTTTTAAGAGATTTACATTTTCAATATTATATATTCTAAATGTAATGTTGTCTTACTGTCACTTAAGTCACGCTGTTAAAAAATAACTCAAATAAATAGTGCAATCCGTGTCTTCGTACAATGTTGAAGTATATTATCTTTTTTGAGCTTTCTCTTTTCAATACATTCAATTCCGCCATGTGTTTAGAGAAGCCAACTTTGTTGTTGATGTGTTTGCAAACATTAGTCACTCCCCCATTCTTCGTGCTACATTTTCACGTTTCAACTTTTATTCGCACTTTCACTTTTTAATTTCCTGTATAAATTTTTTTTTTAAAAAAACAAGAGAACATTTCCAACATACCTACATTACCAATACCAAAAACGATGACACCCAATTTACATGGAGTGCCATATGCTCCATCACCTTATATTTCTTCAATTTCGCAATCAATTACTAATTTTATATCATTTAAAAACAAAACCTTGCTACATGCATATTAATTGAAACATTAATAAAATCATTGAACCCAAACCAAACATCAATTGCATGTTTTGAGCTCTCTCTAATCAGAACATTCCTTGCTTGTCAATTCCACGCGTGAGATTTTGAAGCTTAAAACAAGCGCGTGGGTTCATTGGTGATTGGCCCATGAATATATTGTTAAAATTTGTATGCCTTTGTTAATTTTGTTGAGTTGGGTGGTGGGTTCATATATCAATTATCAAATTTGCTCCTCTCTCTCTATCATTCCCAGGTGTAGTGCAGATAAAAACTCAGGTGCTGACAATCACAACTTATTTCAAAATTATAAATTAGCCTTTAGATTATCTTGTGATTTGTATATTGTCATTTGAAACTATTTTTAATTCTTTTTTTATATTCCCAAAATGAATCTTAGATATTAAAAAAAAGTGAAATAGGTCAGTTAATCAAAGTTTGCATTCGATGCCCCATATGCGATTACGATAGAATAGTTTCAACCATCACTTGTATTTAATAAAATAAATTCTTGAATAGCAAGGTATAAGTCCTTGATGGGAGTGGGCAAAATAAATTAATATGGCAATAAATCAGTTTCAGAATGAAAAGGATGCTTCCCTGTTTAAATGTAATGGTACGGTACGATTGGATTCTTGATATCTAGAAACTACTGACAGTATTGTGTATCTCCTCATGGCTTCCTATGGATGGCATGTCAGATAATTATTACTAGACAGGGATTAATTGGGTTTGATGTTACTAAAGTTTACATTTATGCCAAGATTATTGTAGTGCAAGCAAATATAAACATGACTTATTATTTCGGCCGTTAAGATTAGACTTTGATTTGTTCCTATGATTTTATATATTTGAAAACACGTTATTATTAAATTATGAGCATACATAGGAACATTAATATATCTACAAAAATTATTAATATATTAAGAAAATTATTATTGGCACTTCGAAAAGTCATCATGCATTACCATAATTTTTTCATATTTTGTTGAATATTATAACGTGAACTTGTAACTAAATAGATATTAAAGTGATTAGTCATATGAGGGAGGGCAAACCACACACCCATTATGAGTGTGTAACAATCATATATGCTCACAAGGTGACCTTTACGGCTTATGCTCAAAATCACCTGACACATAACTTATTGTAGTGGGACATAACGAGCGTTATCGTTGCTTTCAATAAATGTGACACATACAAAGTCATTTGAACTCAATATTAGAGCATCTCCAGCACTTCACGGGCTAGGGGGGAAAGGCTGCCCGAGGCAGCCCGAGTTCACTCCAGCGCAGGGCCCGTAGCCCAGTTTGATGGCGGGTCCCACGAGCCCGAGGAAGCCCAAGGGCAAATCTTGCCCGGGCTGAAGCCCGAGATGGTGACGTCAGCGCTGGCGTCACGCTGACGCCAGCGCACGGTAATTCATATTTTTTTTACCGTTGGCGCGTGTAATTCACGCGCCAACGGTAAAAAAAATTTGACTTACCGTGCGCTGGCGTCAGCGTGACGCCAGCGCTGACGTCATCCCCTGACAGCTCCAACGGGCGGGCGCCACGTGGCGCGACGGGGACTCTCCGATGGAATTTTTCCAGAAATCCGACGGTCCTCGTTTTTTTGGCTAAAAAAATTGCAAAAAAAATCGAAAAAAATCGAAAAAAATCTGAATTTTTTTTAAAAAATACCCAAAAATTCTGTATTTTTTCTCTATAAATACCTAACCATTTTATTTACTTTCCACACTAAAATCTTCATACAATTTCTTCTCCATCCCATATTTTTTACTCTTTACTCACATTATTCACTTTCCACACCAATTCTTCATACAAACTTTTCTCCTTCCAATTTTTTTGTTCATCTCCACTCACATTTTTCACTTCCACACCAATTCTCCATACAAACTCTTCTCCTTCCAATATTTTTTACTCTCTTTCTACTACTTTCCATTTGTATAAAAAAAAACAAATGGCATCTTCTATTGAAGTCGGAGGCTCGTGGTCAACGAATGAAGATATTGCGTTGTGTCAATCTTGGGTGAACATTAGTCATGACCCTATCACGGGTAATGAAATGAAGTTTCATCACATGTGGAGCAAAATTCATGGAGAATTTTGTCAAAGATCGGGTTCTATTCGGACCGAAATGGCGTTGTCTAGTAGATGGAAACTTCTTAATAAAGAGTTAGGGAAATGGAGGAATGCCTTGACAAAAGCAAAGGCGAACATTCAAAGCGGTCAAAATTTGACCGATGAGGTAAAATATTTATAATTGCCATTTTAATCAATTCAATGTCACTTTTTTTTTATTGCATATTCTATTTGTTTTTCTTGCATAATTTTTTTTTCTTGGTGCACCTTTAATTTGTCTATATTTTCTTGCATAATCAATTTTATTTTTGCATTTCAAAATAGTTTATATTTTCTTGCATAATAATTTTTGTTTCTTGCACTTCCAATTATTTATTTTTAATAGATGGTACAAGCACAAATGTGGTTCGGTGCCATGGGGCAAGGCAAAAAAAGTTTCGTGCATTTCCAATGTTGGGAAATTGTGAAGGATTGTTCGAGGTTCAAAATTATTCCCACCGGTCCGCCGGTTGTGATGAATGAGACGCCACTCCACGATTCAACATCAACCGATTCTCCATTGGACTCCCCAATGGAAACGGAGTCACCATTTGTGCCACGTCCGCCAAGACCTATTGGGAGAAAGGCGGCAAAGGCCAAGAGAGGGGCCACTTCGAGCAATGATTGTGTACAATTATTGGAGCAAATAGCTAAGAGCGCCACACTAAGAATCGAGAGAGACTTGAAAAGAGATGAAATGGACAAGGCACGAGAGGAAGCATTTGCTCTCCAACAACAAATGGCACAAGAAAAAGACATAGAGGATAGAGAGATGAAAATCATGGCTATGGATACGAGCCATATGTCTCCCGAAACAAAGGCTTATTGGAAGGTACGACGAAGAGATGTGATGAGGAAAAAACTTTTCAATGACGACGGACCTAGCAATACGGATTGGTTAAATGATGAAAACCATTAGGTTGTTGTATTGTTGTATTGTTGTATTATCCTTTAAGTTGTTGTATTGTTGTATTGTTGTTGTATTGTTGTATTATCCTTTAAGTTGTTGTATTGTTGTACTTTGTTGTATTGTTCCTTTATTTGTTGTATTGTTCCCTTATCCTTTAATTTGTTGAATTGTTCCAATCAAAATTAAATGACTATTTATTAAAAACATTTGAGCATCAAAACAAATATTAATTTAAAAAAACCTTCAAACAACACACAAAACAAACCATACATAAAAGCATAATAATAAAAAGCATAATTCCAAAAAAAAAACCACACACAAAATAAAGCATAATTAAAAACAAAGCATAATTCCAAACAAAGCACTAATCTTGACTTCATCCATTGTGATTGCCTTTGATCTCCCACAAAGCACTAAACTTAGAAGCAGGATATAACGGATTTGGGATAAAATAATCCTCCATGAGATTCTTACCCCGAGACTCCCTACGTCTGTCCACATTCGGGGCACGAGGACGACGGTTTTGCCTTGATTGATCCATCATACACACCGCTGCTGCAAGCAGTAGTTCCTCTTCTTCATCAGCTTCCCGATCTTCTTCAGCACGTCTACGCCTTGTTTCTTCCCTTTCTTTCCGTTGCCTCTCCAACACCCTCAACAAGTTTGACATTGAGAGTAGAATGTGTTTTCTACAATCTGAGAAATGAAGGAATAGATAAGAGATGGTGTGAGAGGTTTGAAAATCAGGTCTAGTTTATAGACGGATTTAGAAGATAGAGATGACACGTGGCACAATTTGAGAGGATGAAAATCTTATCAAAAATCTGAGATGATATTTTTTTTAAAATATCTGAAAATGTTATCTGACATTTGACACGTGGCACAATTGTAGAGGGTGAAAATCTAATCTGAAATCTGAGATTAAAATTTTTTTAAAATATCTGAAAATGTTATCTGACATTTGACACGTGGCACAATTATAGAGAGTGAAAATCTTATCTGAAATCTGAGATTAAAATTTTTTTAAAATATCTGAAAATGTTATCTAACATTTGACACGTGGCACAATTTTAAAAGGAATTTTCTTTGAATAATTTTTATTAAAATCTAAAATACTAAAAATTAACTACGAAACTTTAAATGCCGTTTTGGAAGGCCAAACGACCTCAAAATGCCAAAATCCATCATACATCACAGCAAAGCTGTGAGTTTGACTCGTGGTATCGTTCCCTTTCCGAAATGGTATTTTGCGTCCTAATCGGAGCTCGGACGACAAATCTGCAAATTCCCACTACGTCCTTTTTCTAGCTCAAGCGATAAAATCTGACATTTATTCTACATCAGACGTGGCACAATTTTAGAGGGTGAAAATCTTATCCGAAAATTTAATTACAAAAGATTATCAAAATTAATGGTTTAAACTATAAAAAAATAGAAAATAAAGTACAATGAATAGTAATTGCCTTAGACTTGCCCTAGACTTTGCCCTTGTGGGTGGAACCACAAATGCAAAGGCTGACACTATTCACGTGAATAGTGACAGCCCTTGCTTGCCCTTGCCTTAGACTTAGCCCTTGTGGGTGGAGATGCTCTTATAGTAGAGGGATGTTATCCTAGGTGCTTTAGAGGACAAAAGATCTTTCGGAATGTATGTACCAATGCTGAAATTTAAAGAAAAAAATACATGGTAAAGTAATTTAGAAAATTATGTTCCTTTATCATTGCCTACCCATTAAAAAAAAAATTAGTATTTAAAAATGTTGGCGAGTCCTTGTTTAGTTAGAATTTTGGTTCTTTATTATGTTAGGATTTTATTTACTTACCTATTTATTTTGTCCCATTGTAATTAAGAATTATTTCCTATTGTAATTTAGATTTATTTCCTATTATATTTAGGGCTAACAAATCTTTGTACTTCTTTATGAATACCTCCAAATTAGAGAAGAATAAAAATCTAAATCCAAGCATATCTAAAATATATGAATATATCCGAGAATTTTTCCATATACTTTATTTGACATGGTATCAGAGCCAGGTTTTCTTATGATATGTGTTTGTGTTCTCCTCCCCTCTCTTTAGGGGGAGAGGAGAGTAAAGAGAAGTTGTGTCTGCGTGAATTAGGTAAAGTAGATATGGAGGAATTGTCCTTCACTTTGGCTGTTGTTGTCGTGGCCGTCGTTGACATTGCCATTGCTTGCTTCGCTTTCCGTAGCTCTTGTTGTGCCCATGCCTTTTGTCTTTGCTTTGCCTTGCCTTGCCTTGACTTATTTTTTAGGGTTTGGCTTTGCCTTGCCTTACCCTATTTTTAGGGTTTGTTTTTGCCTTGCCATTGTCCTGTTCACATGGTTTTTCTGTTTCTTACCTTGCCTTTGTTGTGTTCACAAGGTTTCTATGTTTCTTGCCTTGCCTTGCCTTTGTTGCATTCATAGGGTTTCTGTACGCGTTTTGCCTATGTTAGGATTTAGGTTTCGTACTATGTTAGGATTTTATTTACTTACCTATTTATTTCCCATTGTAATTTAGATTTATTTCCTATTGTAATTTAGATTTTTTTTCCTATTATATTTAGGGTGAAAAAATCTTTGTACTTCTTTATAAATACCTCAAATTAGAGAAGAATAAAAATCTAAACATATATGAAATAACTGAATATATATGGGAATTTCCATACACTTTGTTTGACAAAAAAATGGTGCATATATGTCAACTGTGAATCTAATATATATTTTTTTAATACAAGCAATATTAGAGAAGAGGGAATTTGAACACATGACTTTGGATATTGAGGTAACTAATTTAAACAACTTGAGCTACAAGGCCGTTGCAATTTTATTTTATTTTTTTTTGCCACACGATAGGAGAGATTTTATTGATAACGCATAGTAAGGTTTACATCTTTAGCCAAAGTATCAAATAGCTAATTGGTGCCCACCTCATCCCACCTGGTGAACATTCCCTGCTTGAGATACAAAGGAAGCAACCAAATGGGCCACTTTGTTACATTGCTGCGGCACAAACAAAAACTCTACTTAACTAAAAGACTTGCATAAAAACCTAATATCATGAATTAACCCTTCCAAGTTCATATCAATTTTGTCTTTGCCCTGAAGCATTTTAATAAGCTGTAGACAATTAGTTTCTACCTCAACTTTGTCAACCCCTACATCCATTATTATCGTCAGAGCATCACAAATGGCTTCAACTTCCATCATTAGAGCTAACTAACATAACATGTTCCCCGTACCGCCTGCCATGAGAAGAAAGCCGAAATGTGATAGCACCACCCACCCAACTCCACCCCGCAAGGTCTGCTGCTGCCAGGCACCATCGCAATTAATTTTAATCCAGCCAGGTTTGGGTTTTGCCAAGATAACGATACCGTTTGTCCCTGGTCCGGTGGTCTGGGCTGCTCAGTGGCCAGTGGCAATGGCTTGTATTGCGAATCCTGAAATTCCTGGACTTGCGCCTGCCAAAGGTGCACAGCTTCAGTTGGGCACACCTTTTCACCTTCAAAGATATTCCCATTGTGGCTTTTCCATATTCGCCAAAGTCCATAAGCTATCTATTGCAACACCACATCTTCAGGTAGGCATTAACTCCGTCCAACAACCATTAAAAGTGGCACTCCTAAACTTTCTCATATCCAGTTGGAGTGAACTAGCAAACCAATAAGAATGAGTGCATAATTGATTCCCCCTTGCTACAACAAACACCACAAGTATCATTAATATTAATATGCTTCTGCGGTAAATTTTGTCAAACGGCCATCGCACCTTTACAAACTCACCAAACGAAGGACCGAATTTTTGGGGACAAATTCAGATACCAGATGCTCTTCCACAAAGCTGTGTGAGCCTCCGCGTTGCTCGATTCACCCATCCCTTTACTGCCTAACTCTCCATTACGATGCAAGAACTATGTAACTTGGTATCTTGCCGGTTGCAAACTATGAGTCAAATCTTTGTACTTCTTTATAAATACCTCCAAATTGGAGAAGAATAAAAATCTAAATCTAAGCATATATGAAATATTTGAATATATCCAAGAATTTTCCCATATACTTTGTTTGACATGGTATTAGAGTCCGGTTTTCTTATGATCTGTGTTTGCATTCTCCTTGTAATTTAAGTGTTCTCCTCCCCTCTCTTCAAGGGGGAAGAGGGGCGAGGGGAGGGGGAGGAATGAAAAAGGATTTGTTTTTCTTTACCAAGAAGTTATTACCTATTTATCGACTCTGATAACCCCTTCTCTTCAGGGGGAAAGGGGAGTGAAGAGAAGTTGTGTCTGCGTGAATAGGTAAAGTAGATATGGAGGAATTGTCCTTCACTTTGGATGTTGTTGTCGTGGCCGTCGCTGACGTTGCCATTGCTTGCTTCACTTTCTGTTGCTGTGGTCATTGTTGTTGTTGTTGTTGTGCCCATGCCTTTTGTCTTTACTTTGCCTTGACCTTATTTTTTAGGGTCTGGCTTCGCCTTGTCTTATCCTATTTTTAGGGTTTGTTTTTGCCTTGCCTTTGCCGTGTTCACAGGGTTTCTGTGTTTCTTGCCTTGCCTTTGCCTTGTTCACATGGTTTCTATGTTTCTTGCCTTGCCATGCCTTTGCTGTATTCACAGGGTTTCCGTATGTGTTCTGCATGTTTTGTTGTGTGCCCTATTTTTAGGGTTTATGTGTTCTACCGTGTGCTCTATTTTTTAAGGTTTGCTCTTGTGTTTCAGCTGCAATCTTTGCTTTGGACCGAATTTTTGGGGACAAATTCAGATACCAGATGCTCTTCCACATTTTTGGGGACAAATTTAAAGAGAAGTTGTGTTTGCGTGAATTAGGTAAAGTAGATATGGAGGAATTGTCCTTCACTTAGGATGTTGTTGTCGTGGCCGTCGTTGACATTGCCATTGCTTGCTTCGCTTTCCGTAGCTCTTGTTGTGCCCATGCCTTTTGTCTTTGCTTTGCCTTGCCTTGCCTTGACTTATTTTTTAGGGTTTGGCTTTGCCTTGCCTTACCCTATTTTTAGGGTTTGTTTTTGCCTTGCCATTGTCCTGTTCACATGGTTTTTCTGTTTCTTACCTTGCCTTTGTTGTGTTCACAGGGTTTCTATGTTTCTTGCCTTGCCTTGCCTTTGTTGCATTCATAGGGTTTCTGTACTCGTTTTGCCTATGTTAGGATTTAGGTTTCGTACTATGTTAGGATTTTATTTACTTACCTATTTATTTCCCATTGTAATTTAGATTTATTTCATATTGTAATTTAGATTTTTTTTTCCTATTGCATTTAGGGTGAACAAATCATTGTACTTCTTTATAAATACCTCCAAATTGGAGAAGAATAAAAATCTAAACATATATGAAATAACTGAATATATTTAAGAATTTCCATACACTTTGTTTGACAAAAAAATGGTGCATATATATCAACTGTGAATTTAATATACATATATATATATATATATTTTAATACAAGCGAAAATGGAGAAGGGGAAACTCGAATACATAATTTCGGGTGTTGAAGTAACTACTCTACTTGAGCTAGAAGCCCTTGCATCTTGTGAGTCAAACGATTAATAGCTTGTGTCAATTCTCATTTGGGTTCATTGATAGCTACACATGTTTTATTAATTGAATAATTCCAACATGCTTTCCGTATACATTAGTAAATAAACGTATATTCGCTTTATAAGACTTCCCTCCTATATTGGGAAAGTTGGAGTGGGTTACAAAATGTAAATTAGACAAGTAACCATATTATTAAATATTAATTGATTTATTGTATAAACAAAGACAGAAACTAAACTAAAATTTATTTTGAAGTGATGGAATCATATTCTCATATACAAACGTCTCCGGTGTCTTTTTCACACTCCAAGTCACATCCAATCATCATTAAGAAATTATTACAGTTTTATTTTAAAATGTTTGGAATTATTCAACTCATCATGAATTAATTAGCAAACGACTTCACAGGCTAGCGACCTGTTATTTATGAACTTAATTGATGTCTTGTGTATGAATTGAGTTTAGATATCCAGCTAAATTGCCCCCAAGTCTTGCTTATGTATTATTTATTTTTTTTTTTTTTTTTTTTTTTTTTTTTTTTTTATTCTATCGGTCGTCCATTACTGCTAGACCGTAGGATTACGTTGCTATCTAGTTACCTTTTTCAACAACTAGCCTCTCAAATTACAAACCTATATATGTACTCTATGCTACACTATAATACAGTTTAATGAGCCGAACTGTCTATATTTTAGATAATTTGCGAAAATAATTATCCGAGTTAGAAGTTATATGATCATCCAAAATGTACAAAATTGTTCATTAGATAATACGGAAATGAAATGCGAATAATCAAATAGTTAAATAATATCTAATTTAGTTGATTTGATGATATTTGGAAATGATACATGACTTCAACAAGGTGACAAGATATACGTGTGCCCTTTCACAAGGTGTATCCGGCAACCAAATTCTCCAAGTAACTTTTGAATTGAAAACTCATAAAAAGGAACTAAAATAACCCAACACATTAACTCATGAAAAATAATTTATTTCCAACTTTAATCATAGATAAGGGAAACAATGATTTACTAATAAAATCAATATATTTAGTTCTGATATTATTGGACAAAGATATTGCATGTCATCATCTTTTAATTAATCATGCATCACATAACCAAAGTAGCCAAACACGCCCTTAATTGTCTGGTTACTATTTGTCTCCCACCAATTGGGCATGCAAAGTGTTGCCAACAAAAACTCACAGTTTGAAGGACACATAACTTATGCGACACAATAAGTGATTTGAAATAGAGGATTTAAAGAAGGGGTCCTTCAGCTTCAGCTCTCACGTGAAGTGTCGTCAGCTTTTGCTAATTGCCAAATCTGATTTCCAATAAAGTCAGCTTTTTTGGGTTCTTCTCCCAAAACCAGAACCACCATGCCTTAAAATCCGCTTGCTTTTTTTAGGGGGGGACAAAAACCATGCGGTTTGTTTCCATTATCTTCAAACAATCTAGAGCAAGCAAACAGCTGAGAAGAGGTCAGCTTTGCTCTCTTCATCTACGCCTCACTAGTCGGTGATCTATGTCCTTCCCCAAATCCACTCACTTACAGAAGTGGCGAGAACTTTCCGTTCGCTACGTGCCTTACCAGTTAGAGGTGTCAAACGGGCCGTTCGCGCCAGAGTCGGTGATCTATGTCCTTGCCCTCCTTCTCTCTCTCTCTCTCTCTACTTATCTATTGCTAAAAATGACAAGCTATAGTGCCATGGCAACAACAAACCCTACACGAGGACATATTAGATCAAGTAGACGGTAAACTTTCTACTTCACCTATTTTCTATTATGTCATTGAGAACTTTGTAGACTAGGCTGGAAGCAATGCGATCCGCTAAAAATATAAGATAAATTATTTTTAATTTCCTTCTGACCAGAACGTTCTCACTTTCTCTCTCCATCTCCCTATTTTTCTCTGACTTCTTTCTCCATCTCCCTCTCTTCCAATCTCTGGGTTCTCTCTCACAGGAACATTCAAGAGCTCTTTAGCTCCTCATTCGCTAGAAGACTATGGCTTCGAAGTTGAATGCTCAATGACTCCCAAGATGCGATTATCTAAAGCCTTAATCCCCATACTTGATTATGAGTTTTCTTATAGTTTAGAATGATTTGGATAATACAAATATTTAAATGTGAACAATCTTAACAATGTGCTGCCTATCAAATTTAATCTTGTATATATATATCAATCAAACGCTAAACACTCTTTAAAATATTTAACACATGACCAAATGATATAAAATCAAACTATAAACAATCATAAAAGCATCACGACCATCTTCAACAGTGGAAGGCTAAATATAGCCCACCCATAAAATTTAGCCCTTTATTTATAATTTTTTTTAAAGGAATAGTGATGAGCTATATTTTTATCTTCCTCAACAGTGCAGGGCTAAATCATAGTCCCCTTAATATTTTATTAGTTTTTAGTATATTCTTTAAATACAAATTTATAAATAAACCAAATTCTAAACATGTATTTATAAAAAAACCCAAACACTATTTAAACATAGAAACACACCCAAAATTAACCCCAAAGTCAACAATTGTATATTTTTTGGGTGTGTTTATAAATGAGTTTTGAGTGTGTGTAATGATGGATTTTTGGTGTGTTTATAAAGTGTTTTGAGTGTTGGGTTTTTTTATAATTTCAGCTCCCATTTTGGGTGTTTTAGTGAAACTCCCTTCTTTAAATATATTAAATAATTTAATTAAAGTACTATTTGAGACCCTTTTTAAAATTTAGTTTAGAAGAGAGAAATATTTTCAGATAGGATTTTAGAAAAGAAAAATATTTAAAAACAATAACTCGTCCATCCAAAAAATAATAAGATAAGATATAGCTCACCCAAGAAGTAGGCCACATTTGGCCCTTTTGGCCCACTGACTAGGTTTGGTCCGGTGACATGGCATATTTAGCCCACTTGCTGCAGATGAGTTTTGATTGTAAAAGGGTTAAATTTGATGATTTAGCCAACTGTTGAAGATGGCCTAACAATTATGACTCGGAGCTACCTATTTTCTGACAACGGAGGTAATTGATAATCTCTCTGGGTTGTTAGCTATGGTTATGGACATGTTTGTCTTGCTTGCAAAGATAGTAGTTAATATGGAGAGTCCTCAT